AAAAGGCTTAATATTTATTTGTTTACTTTATTAAACATTTCTTTCAATGCGCGCATGCGTATAGCATACATTACGCATAGTCGAAATTAGAAAATTCCAACCAGAAAACTATTTGATGTGTATTCGTGATATTTATAAATGATGAGGAATTTGATTTAAATCATATCAAAGACGGAGTACATCAAGATGAAATACTACATTTAGTAAGGAATTATAAGCCGAATAAAATAAAAACATCTGCCCTGAAGATAAGGATAGTGCTGACAGATCAACTTCCAGTTCATTGCACGCCGCGATGTTTCCCCTTCCCCGCAGAGCAGCGTGAAATTGATAAAAATTGATAAACAGATTTCGGAATGGTTAGAAAAACAAAGGATGTGCCTTTATCCATTTTTTGCAGCAATTCCACTTTTTTTTCGATGGACATCAAAACATGCTTTCTCTTTATAGATAGATCCTTTGGCAGCTCCAGAATCGGAAATTCTATTCGATATAATCGAAAGTTCAAGCTTACTTTCATAAAATTGCTCTAACAGTCTGCAAAAAATAATAAGCCGGATCCAATTCGAAGAGTAAGGAAGAATGCTATCTGCAACATTAACTGAAATAGATAATTTTAGCTAGCTTATACCGTCCGTTAACATTAAACGCGCATGCGTAAACGTATTATGCACATGCGCACACCCCTATGCACATGCGTGAACGCATTATGCATTGACGCATGCGCAGAAAGTTTTTAGCTTTGTGGTCCGGATTATAGATTATTCTGGATTATGGGTGTCCAGATTAACGACTTATGACTGTAGTTAACGACCCTAATTCCAATCCATCTTTGCCTTCAGGTTTTAAAGAAATTATGTTTTAGTTCTGGTTTTATCAACAGATGGCACCAGTAGCTTTGTCTCCTGTTCAGGCTTTCTTTCGTTTTCTAATCATTATATCTTATCTTGTTCATTTGCGCTTTTGCAGCTGAGGATGATGTTTTGGTAAAACCATCGAAACTAGTCCTGTGAAAATTTGAAAACATAACGCTGATTTTTGCTGTTTGACTTCTAAATTAAATTTATTACAGTTGTTTCTCATAGCAGCTATACTGTCTTTTATGATGTAGGAAAGATATAAATTTTTAAAGATCTTTTTATTTATAATCACAGGAGAAAACCGACTTCAAATACAAAGGGGCCTTGGTTTGCAAGCATAGTTCATTATAGAAATGTGTTTGTAATCCAAAGCACTTGTACATTAAAGCAGATTTACACATTAGAAATAACAGGAACTTGATAAATGTAAAATAAAATGTAAAAATTCAAAATTTTATTTTTGAAAAGGATTGTGGCCAACTAATAGAACCACTTACTTGTTTGCTCAGTGAAATCTTTCCTTTTATGTGATTTAAATAATGAATCTACCCAATAAGAAATGCTTTTGACTTTTTTTTTTTTTTTTTTAATTTCTTGGAAGTGTGACTTTGCATTATTGTTAAACAGGTTTATCATTTGAACTACTGCAATTTTGCATCCTATCTATCAATTATACTCTCTCTTTATCTCATTTGAAATGGCATTATTTTTATTATTTCAAACTTTTGTTGCTGTATTGTAAGTATAAACTTATGTAATGTAATGATTGCCATAGTGATAAATATTATAATTTTTAGTTTTTAGTATGGAGTGATAATGAGAAACACAAAAATAAAGCAATAAGAAAAAGCATTTCGCTGGAAACTAAAACGGAAGTCATTGGAAGATTAAATAGTGGTGAACACGAATGTTGAATTGAACTTATTAGCTTCAACAATAAGGACAATTTCCAAGAATAAAGAAAAAACAAGTGTCATCAGCAATGACAACTACAAAAATGTCTGCAACTAGAATAACCCGTTCTAGAACTAATACGATAAAGGAGATGGGAAAATGACGTTCTATACAGACTGACAACTAAACTGAAAGCAATATGTCATTAAGGCAAGCTATTAAAATAGAAAAAGCAAGAATTTTTAATCACATTCAGATTGAAACAGGTGACACAACTGAAACTTTTGTTGCAAGTTGAGGATGGTTTAATAGATTTAAACATTGAAATAATCTTCATAATGTACAGAATACAGGAGAAGCAGCAAATGAAATATAAAAGCGGCGGCTGAATTCTCAGCAACATTAAAAACAATAATTGAACCAGGAAACTATCCTCCAGAATTAATTTTTAACGTCAATGAAATGGGCCTATTTTGGAAAACAATGCCGAAACATACATATCTATCCCGTGAAGAAAAACATGCACCAGAATTTAAAACTGTAAAAAATCACTTAACACTTCTCCTGGGTGCTAATACCAATGGAGACTTCAAATTAAAGCCACTTTTTGTTTATCATTCCCAAAACCCAAGAGCGGTGAAAGGAATATCAAAATCAACTTTACCTGTAGTTTGGGAATCCAATAAAAAATAATAGATGACTATGAAATTTTTCCAGAGATGGTTCATTGAAAATTTTTGCCCGTCTGTTAAATGCTATTGTAAAATCAAAAACTTGAACCAAAAGTGCTACTTTTAATGGACTCCACACAATGAATTTATCTGACTTAATAACAAGCATTCCAGTCGAAGTGGTTTTCTTGCCGCCTAACACAACTGCATTAATCCAACCGATGGATCAAGGTGTTATATCAAATTTCAAAGGTTATTTATTATGTGCAGCAAACATTTAGACAAATGTTTGAAAAACCAGATGGAGTTGATAAAAATCAATAAGAGATTTTTGGAGGAACTTTAATATCATGGATGCTATAAAAACCTAAATCTTTCCTGGAATGAGTTTACAAGAAAATGTATGAAAGAAGTGTGAAAAAACATTTGCCAAGATTTAACTCTTTAAAACTCAAAGCCTTCACTAACCTGTATGTTAAAATACCGAACCGCCCAAAATGGTTTTCGAGAGCCACAGCAATTTCCTTTCCTCCCTATTCATTAACGCACAAAGAAGAGTGAAGGTTTCAAATGACATCCTTTCTACTTCTAATAAATAATAAATCCTTTTAGGACAAAGCTGTCTGCAATAAACTGATACAATGTATTTGGAGAAACTGCACCTGCTAATGCATATCTTAGAGGAGGGAAGACAACATCGAAAATTTACGCCGTTTGGGGCGGTTTTGATAATTTGAATGAAGGGATGTCTGGGCCAATATGGTCTTCCAAAGAGTTAAACAAGGACGGTGACACTAGAGATTTTGAATATGAACGAAATAGTGGAATTAGCAAAACAAACAGGTTTAGGTGAAGTAAATGGGAAAGATCTCGAAGGAATTTTGCATGAAACAGCAGAGTCTTCCTAATGATGAGTTCAAGGAATTAGTAGATCAAAAAGAACACAAAAATATTAAAAAAAAGTGATTCTGATGAAGAGGGGAAAAAAAAACTTTCAAAGACATTTCTAAAAACCAGTTTAGCTTCCATAACTGAAATTATGGACTTATTTATTGAAAGTGACGCAGATTTTGATAGCAGTTCCGAGTCAAGATGGGGGGTGGGGTGGGGGTATGTGTGTATATATTATGGATGCAATGTCACCTTATTGACAACTTCTTACAAAGCACAAAGAAAAATGCAAATGACATTTGATACCTTCTTGATACAAAAACATAAAATTTGAAATGAAGAAAAATCTGAATGATCCAAAATATTAAATGGTGACTTAAAATTTTATTAATTCCCATATATCCATTTGCTATGTTTCAATATTTGTAAGAAATAAGTTTTCATTTTGTATTGTTATAAAAAATTAATGAACTTGATACTTGAAAATTTTTTAAATTTTATACCCATTAGTTAACCCCATTATTTTTTTACATGATGAGATGACCTTGTTTAATGCTACTTCATATAATGCTCTACTTTGATGGAATGTAATCCTGCGTTAAACAGGGTTTCACTGTATTTGTATGTAAACATACATATAAGTATATTTGCAGTTGGTTTGAGAGGCTCATACCATATACGAATACACTTGCAGCTACACCCTGGCATAACAATACGGAACTATTATGAAGTTTAGGACTTTTGAATAAAAAAAAAAGTTCATAAAAGAACTGATACCTTTAGGCTAAGGCCCCACTTTGAAAGTCTGATGAATGAGGAGGAAGTTCCACAAAGGTGTTGGCAATATTATGTTAGAGCATCACTATATAGGTATCCCAGTTTTAATGCTTATAATGTTTGAAATGCTTTTCTTTCTTAATTATAATTTTAAGTATTTCAAACAGGTGGAAAAACTAGAAAATATAATTTTTATTGACAGCAATCTTTAAAACTTATGTGCTGACAGTCTAGAATGTTTTGTCCAAATATGCAAACTTGGGTATGCCCAACAGGCTTGAATAATTGCAATGCCTTCACAGTAAAGTCCTGTTACTTAGATGCTGAGATTTTTATAAAAATTGGCCAGTGTTAGCCATGATAAAATTGCCTCAGCATAAGGGTACCCACACTTTCATGAGATTTTAACTTGAAAAAAGCCATTACAAATAGCAGAGGTGCTGGCTCCATTATCTAGGGACACCACTGTGCAAATAAGGATTTTGTTTGCTTTATTAATATGAGCACCGAACTTCTTGTATAGCAGTGCCTTCGTATAACAGTACTGGTATCTTTACAGTGACTGTATTTTTCAAGTTAAAAATTGGCTATAAAGATGCCTAAGTCAGCACTGTTCCACAAACATCAAGCAGAAAGATGATTACATATTCTTTGGTGCTGAGTAATTGGTTAAACTAAATGTTCTGTATTCTGAAGTATATTTCACTCTTTTTACTTCAAATGCATTTAATGCGATCCCTCTGAAGCTGCAGTAAATCCAAAGTTTTCTATTTCAATTATAATTTGAGAGACAGAAAAAACCAGATCATATAAAACTATGTTTTGATTATTCTCATTTCAATGCATATTAAAAATCATACAAATGACTATTTCATTAAAGAAACACAAAATACATCTTAGAACTCACTTTTGTAAATGCAGTGATTATATGCTTCTTATCAGATACATCAACTAGTGTCACATCTTCTGATTCAGAAGGTGGTTTAACTTCTATTGGCAGATTGAAGTTACAACGAAAATATATATTGAAATTATAATGTCCAGGATAATTTGTATGAAGTATGAATTTTTTCACCCTATGGCTTTTGGCATCAAAAAGAACATCCTAAAAAATTGAAGTTATTAGTAATATTACAAACATATTTATATCGAAATAACAAAAAGTATTTAAAAAAATGCAAAATTACTTTTTTGCACAATAATGGCAATTCATTTCTGATTTTTAGATTACTACAATCAGTTGACTTTATTTTGACAACTAACTCAGATAATGTATGCATGCAAGATAATTTGAATTTATAACAGTCCCTTAAGTTTCCTTTCCCTAAAAACAGTAACACACTTATAATAAATCTCTCTCTAGCACATCATTTCAAATTAATTCCTGTTACATGATTCCTATGCAATGCTCATAAGGCATGTACTTACATAATACAGAAGTCAGTCAATAACAATGTTAAATTTGACAAATCAAAACATAAATCAGTCAATAAAATTAAAATGGAAGTTTAACTTCACTATTTTTAACACTTTTTGTTGTCTACACTCTCCTGCCTCTTTATTATTAAACATCACTTTCTTCACACTTAACTATATAGCATGCCATTTGCAGCTTCTCTTTCATACTAAAAGTTAAAAACTGTAAAAATATGAACATTTGCCTTATCAAAAAACAGGTGTACCTTTTTCAGTGCTTAATCTGCTTCAGTATGTGAATTGTGTTTGGATGAAGATTATAATTTGGAAGCATGTGCATTTATTAGAAGAAAAGCACTAAATTTTTATATTCATTTTCTAAGTCAGCTACTTCTGCTAGTCCAGCATCACTACAACGCCATCATAGAATAAATACAGTCAAAAGTCTTTAATCCGGACTCGTCGGGACTTCGGCGATTCCGGTTTATCGATTTTTCCGGATTATAGATCATCAGTTTAAATCTGGTAAGATGGCATGCAGAAATTATAAAACTAAAAATATGAAACCGTAATTTATAAAATAATGAGCAATTATGATCTAAAGGGTATCCAAATTTACCAAAAAAGAAGTCTAATATTTATTTGTTTACTTTATTAAACATTTCTTTAACGTGCGGATGCGTAAAGCATACCTTACTCATAGCCGAAATTAGAAAAATTGCAACCAGAAACTATGTGATTTGTATTCGTGATATTATAATGACGAGGAATTTGATTAAATCATATCAAAGAAGGAGTACATCGAAATTAAATACTACATTTAGTAAGGAATTATAAGCCGACTAAAATAAAAACATCTGCCCTGAAGATAACGATAGTGTTGACAGATCAACTTCCAGTTCATTGGGCGCCGCGACGTGCCCCCCCGCAGAGCAGCGTGAAATTGATAAACAGATTTCGGAACGGTTAGATAAACAAAGGATATGCTTTTATCCATTTTTTGTAGCAATTCGTTTTTTGTTTGATGGACATCGAAACATACTTTCGTTTTCTAGATCCTTTGGAGCTCCAGCATCGGAAATTCTATTTGACATAATCGAAAGTTCAAGCTTACTTTTAGAAAATTGCTCTTACAGTCTGCAAAAAATAATAAGCCGGATCCAATTTGAAGATTAAGGAACAACGCAATTATCAACATTAACTGAAATAGATAATTAGATAATTTTAGCTTATACCGTCCGTTATACATTAAACGCGCACGCGAAAACGTATTCTGCACTTGCGCAGATGCATATGCGCAGTCGTAAATGTCTTGCGCGCACGAGTAAAACGCCTATGTGCATGCGCAGAAAGATTTTAGCTTTGAGGTCCGGATTATAGATCATTACGGATTACGGGTGTCCGAATTAATGACTTTTGACTGTAATAGTATATATGCAATAAACTTTAAAATCATTGTGATTAGCCTTATATTAAAATGCTTGCAAAAGAAAAACAGTGTGGCGATACTAAAGGAACTTGTCTTCATTACTCGCCAATCGTGTGCCCGAATCTCTAACTGTAACTGAGAGTTTTGGGATGCGCTAAAATCATTTTACGTTCTGTCGCGGTCGCGCTCGGTCGTATTTGTGCACTGATGCAAATATCTTCAATGTTAATGTAATGAGTAGTTATGTGGTAATTATTGTTATTAAATGTTTATTATTTGAAGTCAGCTATCTCTATGTGTGTTAATCCATCATACAATTGTGCTTGAATGAAGATTATAATCTGGAAGCATGTGCATTTATTAGAAGAAAAAGCACTAGATTTTTATATTTATTTTCTAAGTCAGCTACTTCTGCTAGTCCAGCATCACTACAATGCCATCATAGAATAAATAATAGCATGTATGCAATAAACCTTAAAAACATAGCCAGGCCTCTACAAATATTAATTGTCGTATTCTGCACACTGGTGACCTATGCACGTGTTTTTTAATTGGAATGAATCCGAGCTATTTCAAGAAAAGAGGAGAATTTCTTCTATTATAGTGTTTGGTGGTCATGCATAAAATTCATCTCAGTGCATGTTTTTGTGTTACAGTGCGTCTTGGATTACTTCAATATATTCGTCAATGATTAGGTTCCAGCAACACACGACTGGATAAGTTTTGTGCATCAAGGTGTTTTTGTGAAATTTTGCACCAGTTATTTCCACAAAATTAATAGTATATGTGTGCATTTGTCAAGTGGGTGAGTTTTATTTTTCTTATGTATCTATCATGCTGCAGATCATTTGAACCCAGGTCCTAACATCAATTACTTATTGCTTCACATGCCCTGCAAATGCATTTCTGAACTGCAACATTTTTCCAACTGTGTTTTTTTATATGTATTATTAAAATGTCTACTAGTGATGCCCCAACCACTAATGACAAGCAAATGGCTCATGTTGCTGTAAAACTCGCCGCATTTTGCTGTAATGATCCCAATCTTTGTTTTTTTCCAATTAGATGCCCAATTCAAGCTTCGAGGTATAATACGTGATGACAAGAAATTTTATACCATAATTCCTGCCCTCGACACCGAAATTCTACAATTAGTCCGCGAAGTAGTTCTGAAACCATCCTCGGATAACAAATATGAGGAATTGAAAAATAAATTAATTTAAGTGAGGAGTCTGAAAATACCAAACTAACGTAGCTGTTGCAAGATTTGCAACTTGGTTATATGCACCCATCCCAGTTATTGTCAAAAATGCAGGAACTTGCAGGTGACACTTTTAAATTGAATGTTTTACAATCGTGGCTCATCCGTCTCCCGAGCAATATCCAGGCTATTCTTGCTACTAGTAACGAGAATCTCTCCCAGACGGCAGACAAAATCCATGATGTTTTTCAGCCACAAGCAATTAATCAAGTACAGCATCCCAGTGTTGATATTTCATTGCTCCAGCAACAAATCCAGGAATTATCATTACAGGTTGCAGCTTTACAGACACAATCTCAGTATCACCTGTGTGGCAGATCAAAGTCAAGGAACCAACATAATAGGAACTACCAATGCACACAGTCCAGTGAGAAAAAAGAAATTTGTTCCCATCAATCATGATTTGGTGATAAAGTGCGTAAGTGTAAGCCTCCATGCACATTCCAACAAACCTCTTTAAACTAAGTGGGACATCGCTCGAAGCCACGAGTGGCCAGAGCATTAGTTGATTATTTGTAACTGCTAAATTGTCAGACAGGCGCTTTCTTGTCGATACAGGTGCAGAAATTTCAGTCGTACCTCTCTCTTTTGTCAAATCAAAACATCCGCCAGGAAAATTAAACTTATTTGCAGCTAATCAATCAAAAATTGCAACATTTGGAGAGATATTAACATCTTTAGACTTAGGTTTGCATCACAAATTTCAATGGCCTATTTTTGCACCCAATAATTGATGCTGACTTTCTGCAAAAATTTTCTCTTTTGGTCGACATTAAAAATTGACGCTTACTCGACTCAATCACACAATTGTCTGCTATAGGTGGTATTGGAAATGCCACTAATTTTGGAATTAAATTAATTGCCGGTAATTCTCCTTTCCACAAACTACTTGAGCAGTATCCTAATGTCATCCGCTCGGTAGCCAGATAACTGACCAAGGTATTTTGCATCACATAGAGAGAGAGACCACTGGACCACCAATATTTGCTCCAAAGAAAGGCAATTCCCTCCTGAGAAATTAAGTGCCGCAAAAGAAGAATTTAAATATATGCTTGGACAGGGTATTTGTTGGTCCTCAAAAAGTTCTAGGGCCAGTCCACTACACATGGTTCCCAAGAAAAATGGTGACTGGCATTCTTGTGGGGACTACCGATTTCTTAAAGCAGTTACTTTGCCTAACAACTATCCAGTTTCTTATATTCAGGACTACATGCAAGTTTTGGAAGGCAAAAAAAAGTGTTTTCTCCTACGTTACATCCTCCTCTAACTCCACCTTACACTGGTCCTCATGTCATTGTTAAACGAATGGACAAAAATTTTATTATTAAGGTAAATAACAAAAACATTACAGTTCAATCGATATCTTAAAACCAGCATATATGTTGTCGGAACGTATAGATGCACCTGTAATTCCTCAGATTCCACAGCAAAAAGTCTGCATAGACTCAAACATTGCTCCAAAACAAGTAATTACTCACACTGGATGTCGTGTTCATGTTCCCAAAAAACTTATCACTGTAATATCATTGAATTTTTTCTCTTGTGGTCGCCTGCAAAAGTTATAGTATATAACTATTTGGATTCATTTCTTTTGCATACATTTGGGAGCTGCTTAAAATTCCTATTTTATTATATTTTCATTATTTTTGTTTAATTATGATGTGTATTGTATTGTGACATATTTCAAATAGAAATTTAAGTATATTATTATTACTCGTATACTGCTATTCATTTAATTTGTTTTACTTGTTTTTTGTACATACATTTTAAAGTGTAACTTTTATTTGATTTTTATGTGTAATTATGGCAAAGCCTCGAGGGCTATCTGCCTAAGGAGAGGAATGCCTTCGTGGAGGACTTTCTAAGAGAAACTGGCTCGTATACACGTTACACATGGGGAAAACCACGAAAACACCCATGCAGCCAGCCCGTTCGCGGGATTCGAACCTCGGACCGAACTACCAGTGTTCAGCGACTTTACCGCTCGGCCGCTGGTGGG